GCGCGGCGGGGCTGAGAGGGGGCTGTAGAGTGTGCGGGGGGGCCTGGCCTGAGGGGCACAGCGATGGGGGGGAGCGGTTCTGGCAGGGGCAGTTAGCAGGGGAGGCCCAATGGAGACCCTGCAGGGAGTGAGCAAAGTTTTCGGGGCTCTTTCGATTTTTAATTTTGATGGGGTTTTTTTGTCCTCAGTGATGGTGCCTCACGCACCCACCCCCCAAGACCTGTCCCCATTGCTGTCAGGAATGTGACAGGGCCACAGTCCCCCAGGCCAGAGGCAGCCATGGCTGCAGAGAGCCCCGTGGAAAGTGTCTGGGAAGAAGAGACCCAGTCTGGAGAATTTTACTGCCCCTGTCACTCTGGAGTGTGGGCACAATTTCTACCAGGCCCCGCTTGGCCCTCAAGGCAAAGACACTGAGCTGCAGGGACCAAGCCACTGAGTTTCCAGTCAGCAAAGTGAGCAAGATGGGACGGGGTGTGCGGGGAGCACCAAGAGGCTCTGAAGCTGTTCTGTGAAGAGGATCAAACTCCCATCTGTGTGGTGTGTGACAGATCCCAGGCTCACATGGTGATGCCGTTACAGGAAGCTGCCTAGGAGTACGTCCGGGAGGAAGCGCCGCGTCCCGTCTGTCTGGAGGATTTCACAGCCCCTGTCACTCTGGAGTGTGGGCACAATTCCTGCCAGGCCCCCCTCAGCCCTCAGGGCAGAGACACTGAGCAGCAGGGACCCCTCCGGCCCAACCGGCAGCTGGCAAACGTGGTGGAACTAGCCAAGCCGCTGAGTTTCCAGGCAGCACAGAGAGCAAGACGGGACGGGGTGTGTGGGGAGCACCAGGAGGCTCCGAAGCTGTTCTGTGAAGCGGATCAAACTCCCATCTGTGTGGTGTGTGACAGATCCCAGGCTCACATGGTGGTGCCCTTACAGGAAGCTGCCCAGGAGTACAAGGTACAGAGTGACTGTCCAGTGTGATGGGAAATAACATTGGGTTTTAATTACAGGCTAATTTCACTGACTGTTACCGGCCACAGATGTGAACCAACCAGTGTAAAGCAGTGGTCTCCAGCCTTTTAAAGTAGCACTTTTTGAATTTAAGTGCAATCCAGGATCTACCTCAAACCCAAATACCCTTGCCCCACCTCCTTTGTGACCCTTTTCCGAGGCCCCACCTCTGCTCACTGCATCCCTTCTCCCTCCCCCATCCTTTCTCCCTTTCATCAGGCAGAGGCAGAGGGTTGGGATGCAGGAGGGGGTTCACGCTCTGTAAGGGAGTTTGAGCTCAAGGGGCTCAGGGTTAGAGAAGTGGCTTGGGGTCCAGGAGAGGTACATGACTAGAACAGGGATTCAGGATACAGGCTCCAGCTGCACACTGCTTACCACAGGTGGCTCCTCTGTGGTGGTGCAGTGGGTCTGAGGAAGGCTCACCCCTGCACCACTCTCAAAAGCAGCCTACAGACTCCCTCTGTTTGTGGAGATAGAATACAGGGTGGGAGAAGGAAACAGCTCCAACGCAAAGGGCAGGAGATGTGCAGCAGCAGGGAGAGGGGGCAGCTGAAGTGCTGCACTTGACAGCCTCTTAGCCAAACCAGTCAAGATCACCTGTCAGAGGCTCCAAGATCTACCTGTAGATCCCGACCTACTGATTGATGACCACATCTGTAAACCTTCATGATCCAAGAGATGCAATAAAAAGTAAATGTTCTGGCTTTGTGGCAACTTATGTCAAGTCTCTACAGATACCTGATGTGGGAAATGTTTCTCTGAGGCTCTAAATCCTGAAACCCAGCCCTCACTGGTGGCAGGAGGGGTGTTTGCACAAGGGAACGTGTTAATTATCAGAGAGGTTTAGAGTGCAGGAGCTACAGGCCACTCTGTCAGTGAGTTGCCTTGGGACTAGAGAAGAGGAGGTTACAAGCTGTTACTGATTGGATGAGCGGGAATAATAATCTGTCATTTACCTTATAGATCCGCAATGTCATCTGGGCCCTGCACAACACCCAGCATGGGAAAGTCCCTGCTCTGAGCAGGTCACAGTCCAGTTAGAGAAACTGTGGGAAGGGAAGGTGGGGCAGCAAGGTGCTCATAGTCGCCAAACATATCAGAGAAGGAGTTCGGTCCCGAACCCTGGTCCAATTGTTAGACTACACTGCTCCCTGTCCCTCAGCATCGCTGAACAGTGATGAAGTGTGGCTCTTAGGAGAGAAAGATGCCTTGATAAAGCCCTAGGCTCGGCAGGGAGAAGAGGTTTCCCACTGGGATGCTGAACTTCTGGGCTGCTCTGTGAGGGTATGTCTACACTACCCCCCTAGTTGGAACTAGGGGGGTAATGTAGTCATCCGGAGTTGCAAATGAAGCCCGGGATTTGAATTTCCCAGGCTTCATTTGCATGAAGCCGGCCGGCGCCATTTTTAAATGCCGGCTAGTTCAGGCTCTGTGCCACGCGGCTACACGCAGCACGGGCTAGGTAGTTCGGATTAGGAAGCCTAATCCAAACTAGCTAGCCTGTGCCACATGTAGCCGCATGGGATGGAGCCCGAACTAGCCGGCATTTAAAAATGGCGCCGGCCGGCTTCATGCAAATGAAGCCCGGGAAATTCAAATCCCGGGCTTCATTTGCAACTCCGGATGACTACATTACCCCCCTAGTTCAAACTAGGGGGGTAGTGTAGACATACCCTCAGTGCTTTCTTTCATGCTGTCCATTGTGCCTTGGATAATCTCCCTGTAAGCAGCCACAAAACAACCACATTAACTTGTTTCAAATCCCTGTTAAAAATTCTTCTTTGCCCTGAGGCCTAGTGAAAAATTAACAATGATTAGGCTGCTGGATGAGCTGAGATGACAGCCTATCATACTGACCAGTATGTCTCATTGTCTCATTATGCTCCCTAGTCAGCCTGTCTGTATCCATCTATTGTCTCTTATCTTATAGACTTTAAGGTCTAGAGGGCCAGCAGGGTCTGTATTTTTCTTCTGTGTTTGTACAGTGGCTATCACAGTCAGGTCAATGATTTGGAGCTCCTAGGTGTTATGATAAAAATAACAATGATAAAGCTAGTTATGGGAATTAGTAACTGTAACTTTTGCTTTATTCCACAAGCAGTTAGAATACTAGTAGTAATTTGCAAGTTTACAGGGGGGGGGGGGGGAACCCCCCCCGCCACTGATAGGGAGCCACTGCCTGGGTCGGGGCCCGGTGGAGAGGGAGGGCCTGGGCTCCCCAACCCCTCCTGCCCAGAACCCTGGTGAGTGGGAAGCTTGGCCAGAGGACTAGGCTGCAGAGTCGGCATCTGGAGGACTAGACCAGGAGGCCGTATTTCCCCTAAGAGAGGGGCAGTGTACTTTGGGACTAGGCCCAGGTGGGCCGACCTATGCCCCGGATGGGGGCGGCAACCCCAAGCCAGGGGGGAACCCCCTGACAGGCCCCGAGCGCCTTCACTCCACCCATAGCAGGGCTTCAGGAAGCACAGGTCTATGCCAGGCAGAACTGGGATTCAACTGGATTGTAGCAAGAGTTCAAACTGGTTAACTGATGAGCTAATGTTTATCGGTGCCAATTACCGGTTAAACTCCCCACTGCCCCTGAAGTGCCCACTTGCCTCTGGCAGCTAACGTCAGTCTGCAACTGCTGGGAGTTCCCATTGGCCAGCAATTCTTGTGGCCACCCCGGCAGACCTCACAAGAGATTGTAGCAAGAGTTCAAACTGGTTAACTGATGAGCTAAGAGATCCCTGGCCCCAGGAGAGCCCATTTCCGCTACCAACCTTGCCTGTCAGCAGGTTAAAAAATACTGTCACTGGTAAAATTGTAATCGGTTACGTGATTAGTATTGTTAACCACCTGCATCATTCTTTATGAAGGTGCCACCACCGATCTGTCCCCCATGCTCGTAGGTGTCCTGCTGCATCCGCAATCTCCTCCTGTGTATTTTTCTATGGACAAAGCCATGTCCAGGGCTGAGTCCCTACTGGACAGAGGCAGAGCTCCACAAAACTGGGACTCTCCTAAAGGCAGACAAATAGGCTCCCAACATCTAATGTGGTTTGCCCT